CAGGAAATTTCTCTCCCTCGAATCGATACTTCAAATATACAAATCAACCATTCGCCCTTGCATGGAGTATTGCTGCCATATATGGTCTGGGGCACCTTCTGTTTACCTCGGAGTTCTTGACAAGACCCAAAGACGGATATGTAATATAATTGGCCCTGATCTGGCGTCTCGTCTACAGTCACTCTCTCACAAACGCGCCGTCGCCTCGCTCTGTCTTTTCTACAAATACTTTTATGGTAACTGCTCCGATGATCTGCTTTCACTGGTTCCCAGACTCCATGAATTCAAGCGCCCTACGAGGCTGTCATCCAGCTCCCACCCTTACACTGTAGAAACTTTTAAATGTAGCCGTCTCTTCTACTCTAATAGCTTCATACCTCGCACCTCTCGCCTGTGGAACACCCTTCCCAATTACTATTTCCCTGAGAGCTATAATCTCCAACTATTCAAATGTAATGTCAGTCGACGTCTTCAGTTACCTTGATCTATCCACTATCCTTCTCCTCATCCTTTCTTCTATCACTCCTATCTGCTCTTGCTCCAAATCTTCTGCAACCCCCTGCATCCTAGTGGCTTTACGCCTTGCTCGGGACGTAATGCTTAAAAAAAAAAAATCCGTATAGCTGAGGACGTGTTGGAAAGTTCTTGGCCAAGAACCGATTTCAAAGTGAATTCTTATTTGCGGTTGAAGTATTCCTCATAAATATATATTCATAAACAGATCTATTTTAGTTGAACTTTTTTCAATAAGCTACTACTCCGTCCTTTGTCAAAATATGTTGCTTCTTGTATATAACTACCCCTAAGCTAGTGGGTCGTACCAATACGCACGGAAATAAATTCCCACATACGCAGGTCCAATACCTACCTGAATATACGTTTTCTTTACTAAGAGTGAACGCGCAGGCCGATCGATGTAATACACACCGTTTAATAAATAAAAATGCGGAGTCTCTTTCAAATAAAGAGTATTCACTCGGATAGCACTTGAAGTAATGTATGATACATTGTATATATAAGCCTACCTGTTCATTTTGAAAATAGAAATTTAGGTTGATAAACTAGTCGTACAAATGGTAGTTATTTTAAAATGAAAACGAAGACTATTTTGTATATTATATTATGTAAGCATATGTAAAAAAAAAAAAAAGAAGAAAAAAAAGATTTAAATAAGGGAGGTGAATCAAAGAAAATTCAATCTACACGTATATCGTAGTATATTTTCGATTCCGGTACCAAAGGGAGGTAACTGCACAATCACACACTAAAACAATAAGACAGACAATTGCGTAAATATATATTTTTTTTTAATTTTTTATCTTAAGACAAACAATTAAATAAAAAAATGAATAAAACTGTTTCCCAGACATCGTCCCCACCCCCACTGTATTAACTGGGTTGGGGTAGCGAAGCGGCCTGATGTCTATGGCATTCAGGTATTTGTCTCTAAGACTCACCTGAAAAAAAAAAAAAAAGATTTTCTATCGTTTTTCGATTCATGTAGTTATGCAGAATAAGTACAACGTCTACATATCAGTTCTTCAGCTTTCACTCTGTCTCTATCTCTTTTACACACACTCCCTCTCACTCTTACTCTCATTCACTCTCTATCTACTTCTCACTCTCACACTTTATCTATCTATCTATCTATCTATCTATCTATCTATCTATCTATCTATCTATCTCGCTCGCTCGCTTTCTATTTCTCTCTCTCACTTACCATCTCTCATTAACACACTCTATCTATCTCACACTCTCTCTCTCTATATATATATATATCTGTCTCACACACTCTCTCGGATTCTCTCTCATTCTCGCTATTTTTCTCTCTCTCTCGATCACTCTCACACTCTTTCACTCTCTCCCTATCTCCATATCCCCCCTCCCTCCCTCTCTTTCTATTTTCTTTCCGAGAAAGTACCCGATCTATGTAACATATGCAAATTTCAAAGATTCCTACTCATTTTGAAATATCTACCTGCGTGACAGCTTAAGAGTTGCGATAGTTGGGTCATGTTTCTAGGACATACAGTCAGAGTCCAAGCGTGGATAAAATTCAGATTTTACAACTCTGATTTTCAAGGTAGGCTGACAGACACCGTTCGAAAGTTAAAACAATAGTTTTCCTATAACATTAACAAACTATATTGAAGAACCAATAAAATTTGAAATTTTGTGTTCGTCAACGTCTTGAAGGGACACAGCACTTAAAGCAAGATTCTATCTATCTATCTATCTATCTATCTATCTATCTATCTATCTATCTATCTTCTTCTGTATCTATTAATGTAAGCTGGTCACTACCTATCTATCTGTATTTGCCTATATATGCATAAGATATATATATCAATATCTACGTTCATACATAAGTATATATATATCACTGCTCGTCTCCTGTATGACTTTATCAATTTATCTATCTGTTCATATCTAACTATTTGTTTATATCTATCTATCAATCTATATATATGTCTATCTGTTAATATATATTTGTTTATAT